ATGTTACAGAAGATTTTGCTGCTGAAGAGTTGAGATGGGGACTATGAAGTTATGGTTTGTATCAAACCTGGAAGCGATAGAGATCCAAAGAATACCTCCATTCTAGCTTATTCCTTTTTATGAATGACTCCCAGCACATTTCTGGAAACTGGCTTCCTTGTTGAGCTGTTAGCTTAATTCACATCTAAGCTAATGGCACTCCATTTTATCCAATGTACTGTGATGACAACTTATTGTATTTAGGATATGGTTTTTAGGGCCTACACTATTTGAAGATATAATCAAGATGTTCATTTGCCATTTTCTTAATGTACTCTATTTTCATGACAATCTAGCTGCTTTTGATACATCTGAAAAAAAAAAAAAAAAAACAACTCCAATATCACCGGGACAATTTGTTAGCATTTGTTCTCAGACATTATGTCAATAGTGACCTGTATCATAATGGAGATAATGCATTTACTATAAGGCAATAGCCAACATCTGATGAAGTGTTCAGTGTTTGGAAGCAGCGTTATAAAATCCTTAATGAAGACATCCTTTTGGGGCCCTCTAATGTGAACAATTACTCTTTCTGAGGGGACCCATCTGTTTTGTTAATTGGAAAGACAGTTTAGCTTCCATATGTAGCTGTGCTTTTTCTCAATCTGTTAATGCCTTTGTATTATTTTTTTGAAGATAACAAAGGTATTACTTTAACTATGTTGGTGGTTTTGCAAGCAGGGTCATCACAATCCAGGCCCAGTGCTAGAACTGGACAGGGAGGGACTGTGAAGCAGACCAATTCTAACAGAGTGATATGATTGGTAAATTTCTCCCTTCTTTCAAAACTCTGGGCATCCTGAAGAGTAATATTAAGAAATGTGAATATAATTGTGGGTGTGGTAGTTTTGGAAATAAGATGCTGCTACCCAGCACTGCAGGAAGATCTGCTGGGGAGGAGAACCTGGCCCCATATTTAACTTCACCTCAGTGAAGATCAGATACTGGTCTTTATGGGCTTTGGTTGTAGAATCCACACCCTTCCCCTGGGAAAAAATAAATTGCAAGTGTCCCAGAAGCTGATGCCAGTCGATATTTGGGGTTCCTGTTTTACAACAGATGCCAGGTGCTCAGATTGCCTGCTGGTATCTGCCAGGTAGTCCTTTCAAGTTAAGATGCAATGATGGTTGGTTCTGTGTTGGTGGGATTTTGGTGTTTTGAAAACATCCATATGCTTTTTGTTTAGAAAATAATTTGCTGATTTTTAGTTTCAAATCAATAAAGGAGGCTATTTTCTGTATAAATTGCAATCTGTGCAATAAAACACACATTAGATCAATATTCTGACATGCCTGTTACCAAGAAGTTCACATTCCCTCTAGTAGCTTCATCCAGTACACCCTGGTATTTCTCAATGCACCCTGAACCAGTCTGCCCTGTGGTTTCCCACTGGCCTGGCCAGTGGCCAGGAAAGAGTAATTCAGAATGTTAAGGAACATCAAGGTTATTCATTTCCATAGTGCCCAACCAAAATGTCAGCCAAATTAAAAAATCTGCGTGGCTACAAAGAACATGCATACTCTCTAGTAGGCTTACCTCTCTCAGGTAGAATAAGAATGGTGTGATGTTCTAGGACCATGTAAGGTTTAGTCTAGTAAGAGACAAGAAAGAAAATGAGCGGACAGATTACAAAGGGAATAGTCACAAAGCTTGGGTGGGGCAGAGGGTGTAAGAAAGTGTATAGAGAAAAACAAGTAGTAATGGAAAGAGCAGAGCTGTAGTGCTCTGTAAATACTTTTACAATGAAAGGGGAAACTTCTCCAGATATTTAGGAAGCTGAGTTTTATTCTAAAACAATACCTGGCTGGCACCCAGGATATGACAGCAGTTCTAGCAATGATAATTCTTAGCTCTCATTGAGCATTGCCAGTGGTCCAGGCACTGTTTTGCTTCATGTCTGTTAACTCATTTAATCTTCACACCATAAACCCATGAAATGGGCACTTATTCCTATTTTACCTGTGAGGAAGCTGAAAAAGGGTACACAACCAAGGTCACACAGGTAGTAAGTAAGTGGTAGAGTCTGGAAGAAAGAACTTGTCTTAGCAAACTTCCAGGGTGATCTTGGGAATAAAGCAAGAGGTAGGAGGTAAAGTACTTTTAAAAAGCAGATATATTTGGAAATTCTAAAAGATGGAAATTGTTGGTTCTTAGCCCAGTCTTCAGGAGGTCAGGAATTTCATACAAAAATTAAAGGCATTTGATCAGAGGCCAAAATGAATGCAAAGCCATTTCAACTGCCTGACCAGTGTGCCCCAGTGACTTGATGGTTTCTACCACGAATTACATTATGATATAAGCTGCAGGCTGTACAGTTAGAGCAAATTTGAAGACAAACGATTGATCGGATAGCCATCTGATCACTAGTTTCTCACCTAAACTGAGGCTGTTTGCTCATCATTTTGGGGAAGTGGAATCTCAGGAAGGATTAAAATGGGGAAGAGGATTGACTCCAGTATGCTTTTCTCGCCAATGAAGAATGGGGGAGGGGCTCCACTTTTACTGTTGTGCAGAGGAGGATTAAGCTTTACTTACCACTGATACTACTGATAAATCTTTCAATCTTTTGGCACCCTCCCTAGTCCTAACCTAAAACAAAGACGGCATTCAGAGTGGTAGGTGAAAGACTTGCCTGCACCTGGCAGTCCCGGCCCATGGAGACGTAGCAAGTAGAGCTGGCTCTGCCTTCCTGCACAAAGTGTGCCAAGCAATCAGCTCAAGAAGCTCCTTTATAAAAAAACAGCCACATACCTCACCTAAGGATCACCTAGTAGCCCTTTTCTTTTTTTTTTTTTTTTTAATAGAGGCATGCTTTATTTATTTGTTTGCTGGTTTCTTTGTTTGTTTTGTTTATACATGCACTGGGTACAGTCAGAAGCGCGGGAGGGCGAGAGAATTCACCAGAGCCAGAGCGGGGAGCAGAGCAGGCAGAGGGACCGAAGTACACTGCTGAGGGGAGCAGCGGGCGGCAGGAGAGGTCTGCGCGCCATGTGGGACCCTCCTCCGGTGGCCGGGGAGCAGCCGGGGATCGAACCGGCGCCGCAGAGGCCGCGCGCAGCTTCGCAACCCAGCGCTCAACCGCTGCGCCACCGGGGAGGCCCCCACCTAGTAGCCCTTTTCTACCAGGAATTTCAAGCCAAAGGATTGCTTGTGTACTCCTGATTCGTATCACTGACCAATCTTTCAACCACCACTTTCTTAAGTTGGTGAACACATGATATCCAGAGGATCACCTGTTCCCACTCTCCTCAAGTGAATTCAGCACAAGAGAGCAAGTAAGTGAGACAACAGGGACCCTAGCATACACTGAACCTATATGTTCCCAAGAGGTAATCTATTACCTATTTATTCCCCATAAAGTCCCATACAGAGGGGGTATTAACATCACTGTCTTACAAATGGGAACGTTTGAATGGTTTTAGCCTTTGAGGAGGAAATGGCAGGTGAGATTTGTACTTAGCAAACACTGTCCTGGGGCCAATGAGAAACCGGGTCAGAGCAGGTGTGGGATCCTTCAGACCAGCAGAAAGGTAACGTGAAAAAAAAAGGAGAGGTGAAGGATTGAAGAGTTCCAGGAAGTAAAAAGAGCTCAACAATAAATTGTGTGTGGAGAGTGAGGCATCCAGGATGGCTCCTGGGCCCTGAAATGATTTCCACCGTGGCCAGAGCTGTCATTCATTCCACTGAGATGAAAAATACTCTAAATTTGTTTTCTCTATCATGTGCTGCTTTACACTAAAGATTTGAAGGTAGTCACTGGGAGAACAAGTTTGTGCAAAAAGCAAATACGCTTGCTTTTTTTTTTTTTTTAAATAGAGGCATGTTTATTTATTTGTTTTTTTTTTTGTTTATACATGCACTGGGTCCAGTCAGAAGCGCGGGAGGGTGAGAGAATTCACCAGAGCCAGAGCGAGGAGCAGGGCAGGCAGAGGGACCCAGGTGCTCTGCTGAGGGGGGCAGGCCGGGCGGCAGGGGGCCCTCCTCCGGTGGCCGGGGAGCAGCTAACCGGCGCCGCAGAGGCCAAAGGCAGCTTCGCAGCCCAGCGCTCAACCGCTGCGCCACCGGGGAGGCCCCCCAAATACGCTTTGAAAGTGCTTTTCAACAAAGGATTGTACTGTTCGTCTGTCAAAATGATCAAGGGACATTCATGGCATTTAGTGGGCAAATGGTGTCAGGGTTGCTGAACAGTCCTGCGAAAAGGCCAAGAATCACATAGGTTAGGCATTGTTTTCACCCTCAATGCCAATGGCACCCTCAGGAGAAAGTCTGGAAGAAAGAACTTGTCTTAGCAACCTTCCAGGGTGATCTTGGGAATAAACCAAGAGGTAGGAGGTAAAGTACTTTTAAAAAGCAAAAAGAAAGGGTGGTATTATTAGGGGAAAAAGGATGTCCCAAAGCTAATTCCATATAGGCTTTGTGGACTCCACCCCCACCCCAGGTCAAAGCCAAAGACACTGGGAACTCCAAATCCCATCACCACCAAAGGGAAGGTGGCTGGGACCGGAGGGTGGGGTTAAGCAGCCAGGTGGATACAAAAGGCAGACACGTGGGCTTTGGGGATCCCCCATTTTGGCTCTCCGCCAGCTAGCAGCGTCTGGCCAGCTCTGAGAGTGACTTTGGGTTTCCAGGTCGTCGGATCGGGTAGGACGCATTAAAGACTTTATTTCCCTATTTTTTCCCTGAGTTGTACATTTTCCTTATTTCCTTTTCTCTTGTAAATAAACCTTTTATTAACCTTTTGTGTGTGTGTGTGTAGTAGAGTATTCATAAGTCCCTTTAAAGCGCGCGGGTGAGGACCCACAGCCAGGAACCCGTTTTAATACCGGGGTTGCTCACAGGGACCCTTTCCAATCTACCCACAGAACCCGAACAGCGAGCGCCCCAGCCTAGAACCCTCTGCCCAGAGCAATTTCGCGCGTAGGCGTGGCAGTCTGCGCAGGCGCACTTCAGGCCACGCCCACGCAGGCGTGGACGTCATCGCGGCCGTTACGGCGTCCGGCCATCTCGGCGCGCAATTTAAAACCAACTCCGGCGACGCGGAGGGCAGGATGGGACCGCCCGGTCCAGGTGACTTGGGGGGGCCGGGGGCGCAGGGGGAAGGGCCCGGCACGAAGCGGTGCTGCGGGTGGACCGGGCCGGCGAGCCGCCCCGACCGGGGAGCGCGGATGTGCCCGGCCTCGCTGCGGGCGGGGATCTCCGCGGGCGCGGGAGAGGCGGGCGGGGGGGACGGGAGGGCCGGAGGGGGCGGGCGGGGTGCGCGCCGCCAATCAGAACTCGGCTTCGCTGGGGTCCGAGCCGGCGCGCGGAGTCCCGCTCTCAGGTTCTTGTTTGGGGTGCGGGGTGCCCTCTCTCCTGGGCTCCTGCTCCGTACCCGGTGTCTCTTTATTGAAAAGAGTTTTTCCAGGAATGCACGTTCGTTTCGGGGTCATGGAAGCGTTGTGATGACTGCTGTATGCTTAATGAGCGTGAATTTATTTTTACGTTCATTTAACAAGTATGGAGCACACATTTTGGGCCAGACTCTCTGTCAGGTGCAGAGATATAGAAAGAAACAGATAAGATCCCAGCCTCTTGAAGCTTGTGTTGTAGTTGGGGAGACAGACAATCGCCGAAATAATAATAGATGAGTCGACTGTTGTGATAGAGAATAGCGGAGCGTTTGGAGGAGAACTTTTGTTATTTATTTATTTATTTATGCATACAGGCCAGAGGCGCGGGGGTGAAAGGATTCACCAGAGACAGAGCAGGGTACAAAACAGGCAGACTGACTGAAATACACTGCTGAGGGGAGCAGCGGGCAAGCCAGGAGAGGGGTGAGCCATGTCCCTGGCTGGGGATTGAACTCGTGCCGCAGTGGTTGTGACTAGCTTCATAGGCTGCGCCTTAACCCCTTGCGCCACCAGGGAGGCCCTGGAGGAGAACTTTTGTACTAAGGACTCAGGAAAGATCTTTAAGCTGAGTCTGGTGACTGTGTTCCAGTCAGGAGCAAGTGTAAAAGAGGCAAGCAGAAAGGCCTGGCATGGACTAGGACCAGAACATTGTGGTTGAAATTCATGAATGAGGTCACAGATAGACAGCCTTTGTAGGTCTTGTAAGTAGAGTGGCCCGTGAACTGAGAAGTAAATTTGCGTATCACCATCATATAGATGGTAAAATCAGGGGAACAGGTGAGAAAACTTGGAAGATCTTGTAGAGAAAACACTCAGGACTAACATTTTAGTAGCTGGATAAAGAAGAGCTTAGAAAAACTTAGAAGAGTGCTGTCCTAGAAGCAAAGAATGTTTGCAGGAGGATTGTCAGTTATTCAAATGCTGGTCAATCTTGAGACAGATGGGACCTGAAAAGCCAGAGTGGATTGAAAAAGGAGTGGGAGGTGAGAAGGTGAATGCACAAAGTGTTTTTGAGCTCAGTAAACATCTATTGAATAAACAGGTGCATAATGTTGTTACCAGGCAAAGGATCTAAAAATAATGTCACAGGCAAGGAGAGAAATCAGTAAAGAATACTCTGAGAACTGAAACATGCCTCTAATTCTCTCCTGAGCTCCTGTCTTAGACAGCTTCCTCCTTCAACTTCTGTTTCTGTTAAGGTTTCTTCTCTCAAGATCCGGCTCGCTTCCTTACTTTGCAGTCTCCACATCCAAAATACTCAAAGACCTCAAGGTTCAATCTCTAGAAATGTCTCTTGCTGCCTTCCTTTCTATTTTTATTTTTTCTTTTGTTTTGATCTCAGCTGAGAGTTATGTTAGTCATACTCTTCAGCTTGTGGGAATCTATCAGGGAAACGTGACGTTCTTATGTTTATTGTTAACCCTATTCATCTCTAGTCTCTTTCTTCACATGGGCAACCATTTAGTGTTTATTCTATATTGCTTTTTTAAAAAATATGTTCCTATAAAATAGGTGTTGTGCATTCTTTTTTATAACCAATTTTGAGTCAGTTGAGATACACATTTTCATACCCATTTGGAAGTTGAAGAAACAAATGCTTAGAGCATGTACGTGCTTAAAATTTCTCCAGCTAGTAAGTGATGAAGTTGGGGTTTGAAGTCAAACCTTCTGATTCTTAAATCTGGAAAATTTTCTCCAAGGTTTTTCAGTTCCTTCATCATCTCTTTTTGTTTCTTGTCTTACTACAATAGGCCATAGCCCTTCACTACCATAAACACACCCTAGACCTTGTCATTATCAATAGCTGCACCACTCTGTCACCTCAACCTTAAGCACCTCACTTTTCAATACCACCCATCCCTCCATCTCATTTTTTTGACAATTTTTAATTGTGCTTTTATTCACATTGTTAAGAAGGTACTTGTTTTAAAGATCTTATAAATAAAGTGACTGCCCTCTAATGTGGGGTAAGTCACCCCTTTTGGCATGGCATTTTCATTTTTATAAAAAGCAGAATTTCTTACAGGATTCTTACTGATCACAGAGTAGTTACAAGAATATCAGATATAATGATGTATATAATCTAAACAAGATAGGCTGATTAGGAGTTTTCATAATGTAAAAAAGGCATTTATATAATGTGAAAATGTACATATTAAAAGTTAGCTACATGGATAGGTTTAGGCAGTAGGAAGAATACTTGATGGGACATTGGTGGTGAAAGGTCCATATGCAGTCATGTTGCTTTTCCCCCCTGCCATTACAGTAATTAACTTCCACTAACGGAGACAGGTATTCCACACACATCTAAACACACAAAGATAAATTGTGAACTGCTACATGTATGGTCTAAAGTGTTCTGTGATCTTTCTGTAATTCTCCCACAAAAATAATGTATTTCAAACTTCCTGTGGGAAGTGGGAAGACTGGTGGTTAGATTTGGAAGATGTTTAACATTTGACATATCTTCAAAGAACCTATGTCTCCTTTTGCTCTGGCTTCCTCACTGTTAGCATGCACTCAGAATGGGCGAATTCTCATGGCGGTTTCACTTAACAGGGACAACTGAAATAATTTGAAATGTGATTACTTTTTAATAACATTTTAATCAAACATGGATCATCTGTAGCTTGAACCCAAAAAGTGGAGGTAGTGCATCTGAGCTTTAATGCTTTTGGTTTCAGTATTCTGTAGTTTCTTACCACTGTTCTAAAGAACAAAGCTGATACAACTACTTGTTTACTTACCCAAGCAGGCACTAGTTTGAGCTCTCAAAGAATATTCAAAACAGGAGAGATGTCACTCTTTCATTTTTCCTCTGGCCCTCTTAACAAACAAGACCAAAATTATCAATTATTCAAGGTCCCTATTGAGCAGTGGCATTTTTCTGTGTGGAGCTGTCTAGAGAGCAGAACAAATAAGAACTTCCCAATACTGCAGCAATGCTGACTTGGGGTGTCCTTTGTAGGAATCAGGAACAGCAGCTTAGACTTTTTCTTATAGCTTTGTTTACCCTGTTTTCTGCAAACTGTTATGGCCGGTGTGTTTTGGGGGAGGAGGGCTATGCTTGACAGTGATGCTTAAAGAACATGTTAACATTTCTCTAGTTGAGTAGAAAAAGCTGGCAGTTTCTGACTCTCTGAATGTTAAAACTGCAAGTTCCTGTTGGGGGAAGAGATTAAAATTACTCGAAGGTCTACTGGCAACTTTAAATTTGAAAACATGCTAGGTTAAATAATACAGTTTTCCAAAGCCTGCTTGTCAATTCTTGCTCTTTTTTCAGTCTGTTTTCAGCATGACAGCCAGAGGGTTCTTCTTGAAACATAAATTAGCTCATTTTACTCTTCTCCTCACCTCCCTCTAATCACCTCTCTTCTCTTTCCACATGAAAGCCAGAGGTTTTTGCAGCGGCCCATACGTAAGGTTCATATACCCTTTCCAGTTGTCTTTCCTTATTCTTACTAACTGGTATTTCTGCTCTATTAGACCCTGGAAAGTCTGACACCCTATTACCTCTTCACTTTTGTTCTCCTCCCCTTGGATTATCCTGCTTTAGCTGCACTGGACTCCTCACCCATACCAGGTGTGTTTTCCCACCTCTGCACTTGGTATTTCCCTTGTTTCCCTCTGATATCTGCATTGGTCTTGATTTTGATATTACCTTCTTGGTAGCGTCTTCTCTGACCAATAGATTTAAAAGACCTCCCACCTCCATTCCCCAGCCCTCATTTTCCTTCTGTGATTTACTTTTCTCTATAGCTTTTATCTCCATCTAACTTGGCCATGTATTTTCTGGCTTCGTATGAAAATGTTCAAACATATAGGGAAATTGAAAATCTAAGACAATAACCACCCTTATACCCACTCCCTAGATCTAGCAGTTGTTAGCATTTTGCTGTATTTACTTTATCTTAGTCCTCACATATATTTTTGACTGATTCAGTGGAAATTTGCACGTGTCGTATTATCCTTAGTTGTTCCTCATGCTGCCTACCATAATATCATTGTCACACCTAGGGAAATAAAAATCAATTCCGTAATGTTATCTAATATCAAGACTATATTCTGTATTTCCCTAGTTATCCCCAAAATGCTGTTTATGGATGATTTTCTTTTTGTTTGGTCAAGGGTTGACTGAATATTCAGGCAGTGTTTTTGGTTTATATGATTTCTGTTTCTTTTAATCAAGAAGATCTCCCTACTTTAAAACATTTTTTTGACATTGACTTTTTTAAAGAGACTAAGCCAGTTGTCTTATAAACTGCCCCACGTTTGGATTTGTCTGAATGTTTCCTTGTGTGTAATATTATTTATTGTTCTTCTGGTCCTTGTATTTCTTATAAACTGGTAGTTAGATCTAAAGTCTGAGTTAAATTTGGATAAACTTCTATCTTTGGCAAAAATATGGATGATGCTGTGAATTTCATATTTCATCCTTTCAGAAGATGACGAAGTTTCAAATTGTCCCACGTTTACCAAGGCTATATTTGCTTGCTCGGTTAACATAGTGATAACTAGTTTGTTGTGAAAGATGATTTTCCCTTTGTATTTAGCAAGTAATTGTGGGTGATTCTTTGGAGCATTCTATTTATTTTTATATAGTTACACCTGTTGTCTGTCTCCCCCCAGGGATAAGAACTATCCTGTCTGACTTGGTGCCCCTTACTTCACCCTTGGCTCAGCATCTTATCTCTTTCTTGGATGTCTTTATGGCTGTGTGTGTTCTGTTAGTTTGTGTGCTCATCAGGGCAGCAACCTTAACTTACCCACCTTTATATTCCATGCAGTGTGTTAGGTTCACAGTGTACATGGTGGGTATTTGTCCCTGATTGTGCCAGAAGCATCCATCACTGAGAGCTGCCTCCCTGACCCTCCTCCATCTATCCCTGCCCCAGAACCCAAACTATAGAGGTTCTAGCTATAGAATATTAGAGTTGAAAAAGATCTTGGTGGGCAATATGCAGTGAATTTTCCCATTGTGACAGGCCCCCAATACTCCTTTAGATACAGGAAATGTTATGTTGCCAGTTTCTTGAGCAAGGGTTCTGTTCCATCTCTGTTAGCTACAATGAATAACTCTTCTTCAGAGACCCGTGGACATCCCCCTGGTGCCTCCTCACCTGCAGAAAGGGTATTCTCGATGGCCCTGCCCAGGAAGGCCCCTCTCAGTACTCCTGGCACGCCGGTTCTTGAAGACTTTCCTCAGAATGATGATGAAAAGGAGCGGCTGCAACGCAGGCGCTCCAGGGTCTTTGACTTGCAGTTCAACACAGACTCACCTCATTTGCTAGCCTCCCCCTCCAGCAGGTGAGTGTTTTCTGAGCTGCCGCCCTGGGGTGGCCTCCTTGATGTGGATTACATGGGTCTCATAGTTCCATAATACCTTGTGGATTCTGGGTCTGAACTTTGAAAAGTTACAGTATTATGGATCTTTGCAGAGTTTTTTGTTTTTAATTTAGGAATGTTGACGTTTCATCTACAACTCCTAAGTTTACAAACACACAGATCACAGAACATTACTCCACCTGTATCAAACTGTCCACTGAAAATGTGAGTATCTGCTGGTTAAATATTAAAGATTTGACAACCTGATTGCAGTGGAAATCTAGCCTTATTGATTCTGTAGAGTGCATGATTGTAATAGTTGTGTGCTTTTATTCTCCAGTAACTCTTGAAGCTACTTTTTTTCAGTATGGTTTCACTGTTTCTTACATACCTTTCTTGCTCCTTCTGACAGATTGTCTGTTCCCTGCAATGAATGCAGAGAGGCAGCACGACATAAGGGTTACTTGTGAGTTTTAGAACTAGAGAGTAAATAGACAGATTAGTAGGGTGGTGAGCTAACTGTTGAATTCTAGATCTGGACTGTGTTGGAATCCTGCCACTTAAAGCTGTGTGACCTTGGCAAGTCCCCTAACCACTCTGCTGCAGGGTCCTCTGTAAAATGAGAATGAGAAGAGTACCTGCCTCATGGTCATTTTTTTTTTTTTTTTTTAAATAGAGGCATGTTTTTATTTATTTATTTTGTTTGTTTGTTTGTTTGTTTTGTTTATACATGCACTGGGTACAGTCAGAAGCGCGGGAGGGTGAGAGAATCCACCAGAGCCAGAGCGGGGAGCAGAGCAGGCAGAAGGACCGAAGTACACCGCTGAGGGGAGCAGCGGGCGGCAGGAGAGGTCTGCGCGCCATGTGGGATCCTCCGCCGGTGGCCGGGGAGCAGCCGGGGATCGAACCGGCGCCGCAGAGGCCGCGGGCAGCTTCGCAACCCAGCGCTCAACCGCTGCGCCACCGGGGAGGCCCCTCATGGTCATTTTGAGGGTGACTGAGTCCCTTTGTGCACAGTGAACACTAAAGAGTTGTGTACTGTCTTTGTACACCTTAAATATGAAAAACTGCACCTGTGGATTTAGTGATGTTGTTATAGAGCAGCCCCCATATTGAACGGGTTCCTGGCTGTGGGTCCTCACCCGCGCGCTTACAAGGGACTTATTAATACTCCACTACAGGCACACACAAAAGGTTAATAAAAGGTTTATTTACAAGGGAAAAGGAAATAAGGAAAATGTACAACTCAGGGAGAAAATAGGGAAATAAAGTCTTTAATGCGTCCTACCCGATCCGCCAACCTGGAAACCCAAAGTCACTCTCAGAGCTGGCCAGTCGCTGCTAGCTGGCGGAGAGCCAAAATGGGGGAACCCCCCCCAAAGCCCACGTGTCTGCCTTTTTATCAACCTGGCTGCTTAACCCCACCCTCAGGTCCCAGCCACCTTCCCTTTGGTGGTGATGGGATTTGGAGTTCCCAGTGTCTTTGGCTTTGGCCTGGGGTGGGGGTGGAGTCCACAAAGCCTGTATGAAATTAGCTTTAGGACATCCCGTTCCGCTAACAATGTCACTAGGTGTTTGTGGAAATTGGTATCTATGGTGAAATGTGGGATGTTCCAATGTAATAAAAACTTGATGTTCTCTTTCGGGGTAGCAGTATTTACATGAACCTAGGCTATAAATAACAAATCTTTGTGCAATTTTCTGTTTTCAGAAAATCACTACCAAGAATGCTTTTGGCTTACACTTGATTGATTTTATGTTAGAGATTCTTAAACAGAAAGACACCGAACCGACCAACTTTAAAGTAAGAAAAATCCACTTTCTTTTGTATCCAAATTGATTATTTCTAACACTTACCATAGTATACTATTTAATTTTACAAATACATGAGGAGAGCCTTTCTTGTTTAAGACATTTTATTAACTACATCACTTTTCTTTCCTAAACTGATGAAATGTAGAAAAGATATTTTTCTGTTGCGTCTTAGGGGAATCTTTGCCATTTCTTTCTTTCTTTTTTTCTTTAAAGATTTATTTATTTATGCATGCAAGAACTGGGACACAGGCCAGAAGTGTGGGGGGTGAGAGGATTCACCAGAGACAGAGTGGGGGACAGAACAGGCAGACTGACTGAAATACACTGCTGAGGGGAGCAGTGGGTGAGTCAGGAGAGGTCTGCTGTACCATGTGGGTAGCTCCCTGGCCAGGGATCAAATTCATGCTGCAGTGGCTGCAGATTGCTTTATAGGCTGCATCTTATATATTTTTTTTTAAGATTTATTTATTTATTTATTTATTTTTATTTATGCAAGCACTGGGTACAGTCAGAAGCGCGGGAGGGTGAGAGAATTCACCAGAGCCAGAGCGGGGAGCAGAGCAGGCAGAAGGACCGAAGTACACTGCTGAGGGGAGCAGCGGGCGGCAGGAGAGGTCTGCGCGCCATGTGGGACCCTCCTCCGGTGGCCGGGGAGCAGCCGGGGATCGAACCGGCGCTGCAGAGGCTGTGGGCAGCTTGGCAACCCAGCGCTCAACTACTGCGCCAACAGGGAGGCCCTATAGGCTGCATCTTAACCCCTTGCGCCACCAGGGAGGCCTGCCATTTGTTTCTTAAGGGAAAGTAAATATTTTCTGAAGCTTGCTGTGTTTTGCCTGTTAAGAAGCCCCTTTTCATGCATGCTCATGAATACAGTTCTGCTTGTGTGGCTAGGTGGCTGCGGGCACTCTGGATGCTAGCACCAAGATCTATGCGGTGCGCGTTGATGCCGTCCACGCTGATGTTTACAGAGTCTTGGGGGGACTGGGCAAAGATGCGCCATCTCCAGAAGAAGGAGAGAGCCATGGTGAAGGTACATGGATTGGGATCTAGATTTAATGGGCTTTTAAAAGCGTGTGGCATATTATTATTTGAGCAACATATTGGGATGAAGCCATAAGAATATTTACTGCTACTAAAAACTTGGATGTTTTCCAAGTTTGTACATTGTACAGTATACATAACAGTCAAATGCTAGAATTGCTTTTCTTCAAAAAAGAGAAGGAGCTTATGGGAGCTTTTGGATTTTATTTAGGCAAGATTGAGTAAATATCATCAAGTAGGGAGGTTCTGATTTAGGGGTTTTCAGAAATTAATTTGTCTTATAAACTAAAAACTTAATCTACTAGTGTGGTTGTTCCATCAACTGCTAGTTAGATTGTTGTGAGAGGGTGGCATGCATTTAAATTGCGATTACTCTTTAGAGTTTTGAGGAGTTTGAATTAGTAAGTTAGTTCTCCAAAAACAATCCTTGCATAAACAGTCTTATTTCTCTTTTAGATAGAAATGCTACTGAAATGGGAACAACCAGAAAGGTTCCAAAGCCTAAGAAGAAGCAGTCATACAAAACCATTGAGCAGAATATAAATAACCTCAATGTCTCTGAAGCAGATCGAAAGTGTGAGGTGAGGAACTGTGTACGCATTGTGGTCTTTGGCTAATTCAGAGCACGAGGGATTGAAATATGGAGGGGCTAAGCCTGCCTTGCTGGTATGTGCTTGTTTTTTTTTTTTAAAGATTTATTTATTTATTTATACATACATACATAACAAGCACTGGGTCCAGTCAGAAGCGCAGGAGGGTGAGAGAATTCACCAGAGCCAGAGCAGGGAGCAGAGCAGGCAGAATGACGAAGTACACTGCTGAGGGGAGCAGTGGGCGGCGGGAGAGGTCTGCGAGCCATGTGGGACCCTCCTCCGGTGGCCGGGGAGCAGCGGGGTATTGAACCGGCGCTGCAGAGGCTGCGGGCAGCTTCGCAACCCAGAGCTCAACCGCTGCGCCACCGGGGAGGCCCGGTATGTGCTTGTTTAGGCCTCAAAGGAGTATTCAGCTGGTATCTGCATTATCATCTTTTAGCTTTACAGTGAGGTTTGAAAGGGTAAATCCCCTTAGTATTTCAGAATGATTGGGTAGGAAAAGATGACAAATTACTGAGAAATCTGATTGATTGAAACATTTAATTTCCTTTCTTGGTACATATGGCAGTGGTGACAAAAACTGACATTTATTATGTGTTTACTGGATGCCCTGAGCCGCCCTAAGATGCCACACAGATGGCGACCTGTGTTAACTTATTTAATCCCCATGTCTTTGTTAATTTCTGAAGAGCTGATTGAGGTGCAAGTCTGTTAGGTAACTTACAAATATGACATACCTAGTTAACAAGCTAGGATTTGAAACTAAGTGGACTGACTGGCTCCAGAGTCCTTGTACTAAATGATCTTATATGATCTAGCAAATTCTAAGGAATTTGTTTAAAGAAATGGTACTGAAGGCCTCGCTTATAAATAGCACAGTTAATTTAAAGCAAATAGGTGTTAACTACAATGCTTTCTTAATTTTACCATGAAAGACAATATTTCTCGGGACTTGTAGGTGAAGGGTCCGACCTCTGAGGAGGGCATGCTGCTTGCTGGTGGGGTCCCTAAGAGGCACACAACGGGGTTGTTTCTATGAGTGTGAGGGAAAAGTGCAAATTGCACTCAGCTGCTGCCAGATATGCCCTGCTATAGCTGGAGTGAAGAAGCACTGCTGGTGACACTCATAAGAATTGGAAGCCTACAGAAAAAAGTAAGGCCCTTCGTCTAGCCCTGCAAACTCCTTTTAGTGCCCCCTATTGGTGGAGTGCAGCGTGGAGCTGCTGGCAAAACTAAATGTAGTCCCAAACCCAGCATCGCAGCAGAGGATGGAAGAGTAGGTTTGGAGCTGAGAGGCAATAAATAGCTCAATAACTGGTGGAGAGACAAATGTTGTAATATCTATTTTCCTAAAGGATCTTTTGAGAGTTGAGGGAGAGAGAGAAAGCAAATATGCAAAATGTTATTCATTGGAGAATCTAAATAAAAGTTCTGCAGAGGCTCATATTACTACTTCACCACTCTTGTAGGTTTAATATGTTGGGAAGGGGGAACAAATGGGAGGAGAGGAGTGAAGACACTGATAGGCAGTTCTTCTGAAGTTTTGATACAAACTAGAGCATCATGATAGGATGACAAGTGGATGGACAAATAAGGTCCACTCTTGTTTTTCAAATGGGAGAATTAATGGCATTTTTACTTGTTGATAGCATCAATCTAGTGAAGAAGGAGTTGATGATGATACAGGAAAGAGAACTAACTAGAGCAGTATCTGTGAGCAGGTAGGATGGGAAAGGAATGCACGGCATAGATGGACTTGACTAAGGAGCGTGTGGCTGATGGGAGATGGGGTTTAGTGTGTGCTCATGGGAGTTCTTGATATTTTTTTCTGGGTGTTCCCTTCATCCCCTCGTCAATTAAATAGGAAGCTAGATTTTCAATTGACAGAGAGTGTTGGAGGTTTGAAGAGAGAAAAGGAGTCACTGAGAGGGTAGGCAGGTGAGTGGATAAGGGAACTATAACTTGCCAGACAACACTTAGGGTCTGCTTGATGGCAGCAGCAGAGGGATGGAAAGTGAGGTCAGTTTGCATGATTTTTGCCTTTCTTCAACATGATTAGATGTGTGAATACATGCAAGGAGAAGGCAGAAAGCTGGATTGTGTTTAGCTGAGTGAGTGAGACACAACTAGAAAGGGGCACTGGAGTTAAAAGCATCTGCAAAGGAGTGGTTGTATGGAATTTTATGGAGTTTTAGCTGGGAAAGGAGACACAGTGTAAGGCCATATAATCTGTAGATTGCAGGGCCTGGTGGAGCCAAAGACTTACTGGTGTTGGAGACAAGAAGGTGTAGGCTGGAAAGGCAGGAGGTGGTTGTCAGGGAGGGCACTTGGACTTGAGCATATGGAAAAGTTGCAGTCATGGTTAATGGTTCAATTCAGAGACAAGACAAGGGAGTGAAAAACTGAGACACTGTGGGGATCATATGAGAGTCCTGGGGTTCTTAAGGTACCACCCAAGGCAGGATCCTCTCACCCAATGAGAGGATTTCAGGAAAGTGGGAGGCCAGAGTATTGGAAGGATCAACATATGGATATTGAAATTTTCAAAAACTGTAACAGTAGTTAAAGACGACTAGTACTAAGCCAATTAAGAAAGGGGTAGTTAGGGCTGTGACCTGGGCATTGGTGATGATTGTGATATAGATAGATGGAGAGTGGTAAAGTTTGTTGTGTTCAAACCTGAGGGTTTTAGGAATTAGAAAGTAGCATAGTCTGGAAGCAGCAGTGAGCTGCAAGGAAATCGTGTAACCCATGTGGTTTGCTGGCTGCGGAAGAGGAGGCAGCGCCACTGGAGAAGTCCACAGGGCAAGCAGCATCCCTGCGTGGACACTGGGCTCCATTAGAACAATGCTGCTCAGTCTTTTACTATTGTCTCCCTCCCCCTGCCCTCTAGAGCCTTTTTAGATGCTTTGTTCCCACCTTTCCTCCTTGAAATTAATTACAAAGGAATGTGATTTTATCAGGTAGGGTTCAAGTTTGGAGAAACCTGTAATTTCTGAGATTTTCTTCACTTTTCCTCTGGAACGCTCACCCTTTGAGAGTGATATTGCCCTCATTGAGAATGACCAGGTCAGAGCAAGTAGGTGGTGAGAACCGTTAGGGAAGAGGTGGCAATACAGGAAATTTTGCTGATGACTGAGTCTAGAGGGCCCTGTGATCACTCAGTGATGGGGCTGAGCCAGGGCAGGCATTTCTACTCTGGACTGCCTCGTGGCTCCAACCTGTGAGGACAGTGTTGGATGATCCTGAGGCAAGCGTGGCACATTGACCTCAGGTGTGCCAGCTTTGGAGCCTTTAAGTTTTTAAAGTTTATATTCCGGTTCTACTGTTTTAGCTATATGGCCTGGGGCTAGGCTCTGAATCTTACTTTGTTAATCTATGAAAGCAGGTAACTCACATGTGGGTTGTATTAGTGAATCAGTTTTTGTCAAGGTGCTTTACACCATCTGTAAGGTTTACAGCAGATTACAGAGCCATGTAATTAATATGTTGTACACATCCAAAGAGGAGTTAAATCCTCTTTCCTTCCCTTGCTTGTCCTACTTCTTGTTTTTTCCCTTCTTGGGTAATCCGAATATTTATTTTACTATCATTCTTAGTTTCCTTCTGGTTCTACAGTGAAATGAATACAGTCAGGAATTGTTAACAACAGTATGGCTAGAAATTCTGTTTTCCAATTTTTTTTCTTGCCAGGTAGATCCATTTCTCTGAGCCTGACGAGGCTGCATTAGCCTCTCCTATTGTTATAAAGACTAGACAGCAAGCAGCGCTGCTCCCTCTGGGCCTGCAATTCTTAGGCTGTGGTGTATTTCTGCCAAGTGAAATCAGCAGAGTCGTGGAGAAACACCAAGTATCCCAGCCCTGGAAAGCTTTTTTTGGCTCTGTAATCTGCTGTAGACTTGTAGCCAAAAGTACAGAAGATGAAAACGGGAGTGATTACACAAACTTAAAATTTAAAGTTTCAACTGTTTATTGAACTTGTCTTCCCTTGAGATGGAGAGGAGATTAGAAAGCAAACGCTGTCTTGGCTGAGTCTAGATCAGTGGCGAGAGCTTGTTTGTGTTTTGGACACATCTGTCTACTCTGTGCAAAATGCTTGCTATTGTAGGGGTGGTTTTCAACCTGGTCATGCTCCAGTTCTTTGTACCGTGATCACATAAATAGACACAATTCAAGGAAGGTCAAGGCACATACTATGGGAGAGAGAGTGGGTGGAGGTGAGGGTTTCTGGAAGAGGTGAGATTTGAAGTGCACCTTGAAGGAAGGGCAGGTATTTGTCAAGTGGACATTGACAAGAAGGCAGAGGCAATCGCCTTAGAAAAACAGACATAAGTAAAGGCCACAGAGCAGCAGGAATCGGGACATTGTACAAGCTTGGCTAGAACTGAGAATTTATTTTTTTTATTTATTTATTTATTTATTTTTTTTTTTATAGAGGCATGCTTTATTTATTTGTTTGCTGGTTTCTTTGTTTGTTTTGTTTATACATGCACTGGGTACAGTCAGAAGCGCGGGAGGGCGAGAGAATTCACCAGAGCCAGAGCGGGGAGCAGATCAGGCAGAAGGACCGAAGTACACTGCTGAGGGGAGCAGCGGGCGGCAGGAGAGGTCTGCGCGCCATGTGGGACCCTCCTCCGGTGGCCGGGGAGCAGCCGGGGATCGAACCGGCGCCGCAGAGGCCGCGCGCAGCTTCGCAACCCAGCGCTCAACCGCTGCGCCACCGGGGAGGCCCTAGAACTGAGAATTTAATTGTAAATTGAAATGACCCTGAACTTTAACATGTGGCCTCTTTACCAAGACCTTCTATTACGGTTATTCTTCCTTGCTCTGGATCCCTGTTTCAAGGGATTCATCTATCCAAACTATGCAGTTAACAGTAATTCATTTTCCCATCAATTTACTCAAAGATGCCAGTAACATCTAATTTACATGGAAGAACCATTTCTCACACTGGCAGATAGAGTTTTAGACAAAAGTAAGGAAATTTATCTTAGTGTTTTCAGCTTTAATGTGGGTGAGTATACAATTTCCGTGTTGACTCTTTGAAATGCTGAGTTTCATTCACTGCCTACTCAAGATCCTTAAGGGGTGTCGACTCCCCTGGGAGACCATTGCTCTGATTGGCACTGGAGGAAAGGGGAAAGTGCCAGCACTGGTGTTTTTAAGATAGCAAGTGGGAGAGACCAACATGAGGTTAATGCAGGTAAGGGTTGTGATGGTGATAATGAAGTTGGAAAGGAAGTGATGTGGTAGAGACACTGGGAGGAAAACTCAACTCACTAGGCCATGTTGCTAACTGGATGAGGGATAAGGAGGTTGGGAGGACATGAAGGGCTATATCTGTTACTTGGGACCAGCAGACAATGAGGTGGCTTGGGGAGGTGAGAGGAGAGTCTCAGTCCAGTGAGTTAGGCTTAGTTCCAAGGGAGTCAAGGAGCCACATGTTATATGCACATTCCTCTCACCATAGTAGCCTGAGGCATCAGGAAGATTTATGATTCCAGTACCCAATTATTTCCTGTCTTAGGACCACCTGTCCATGACTTCTACCCTCTTGCTACATGTGCATGTGCCTTGCCCCGTCCTTGTTCTTATGCTTGGTGCCCTGTTGTGCCTTTGGGCTTGGGGATACCTAGAAATGCCACTCTGCTTTGACCCAGTTTGGGGAACCTTCTTACAACTTCTCTCATGTTTTACCCACACAACTGTACATGTACTTTGTCTGGATTTCTTAATAGTGTTCTCCAAATCTTTGAAAATATTTCTCTGTTTATTATTTATTTTTAAGATTTATTCATCTATGCATACAAGAACCAGGGTATAGGCCAGAGGTGGGGGGGTGAGAGGATTCACCAGAGACAGAGTGGGGAACAGACAGGAGGAATGACTGAAATACACTGCTGAGGGGAGCAGCAGGCAAGTCAGGAGAGGTCTGCTGCGCTACATGGGTAGCTTCCTGGCTGGGGATTGAACTCATGCTGCAGTGGCTACTAACAGCTTCATAAGTTGCTCCTTAACCCCTTGCGCCACCAGGGAGGCCCGAAAATATTTCTGTTTAGAAAAATAATAGGGCCTCCCTGGTGGCGCAAGAGGTTAAGTCTCGGCACTATGAAGCTATCCGCAGCCACTGCAACGCGAGTTCCACCCCCAGCCGGCCAGGGAGGTGACCCACATGGTGTAGCAGACCTTTCCTGCCTCACTCTGTGCTCCCCTCAGCAGTGTATTTCGGTCTGTTTGCCTATTCTGTTCCCCACTCTGTCTCTGGTGAATCCTCTCACCACCCTGCACCTCTGTCCTGTACCCCAGCTCTTGTATACATAAATAAATAAATCTTTACAAAACAAAAGAAAAATAATAGATGTTGGGATCGCATTCCACTGGAGATAGCCATTTGAAAACTGTGACCTTAGAAAGGGAACAGCAGAAAGATATCTGTTCAGGTATATTGTGAACAAACAAATTGGCATGGTATAAGCCTGTGACCATGTGCTGTGTGCTTGATGTGAATGCATTTAATCATCTGGCCACATGCTCCCTTTCTTTTGAACTGGTATCTACTGGGATGGGATTTTACCTAATCATTTAGAAAGCCTCTTCCTCATTGCTGTTCTTGATAATGTGCAGAGAAACTTCATCTAATATATGAAGGTGTGAATGAGCAGGATCCAATGAGTGAAACTTTATGCATTTTTCTGTTTACATATTATCATTCTTCCTTCCTTTTTATTCCTGTACTCAGATTGATCCCATGTTTCAGAAGACTGCAGCCGCATTTGATGAGTGTAGCACTGCAGGAGTATTTCTCTCTACCCTCCATTGCAGTGACTACAGGAGTGAGCTGCTTTTTCCTTCTGATGTCCAGATACTCTCCACTGGAGAATCTCTTGAGTTGCCAGATTTAGGTTGGGTAGAAATGACAGATTTAAAAGGTAAGTACATGCAGTGCCTTTTACCAGAGCATTTCAGTGATTGCAGTGGTTCCGTATTACCATGGGGTGTAAATAAGCCCATCATGTTCTATGTTGCTTATTTAAATTGCCCAAAAGGTGCTTCTGTATCACCAAATTAGGTATCTTTTCAGGAGAAACTAACTTTTCCTACTTTCTGGAGTCTTAAAATAAATGCTAATAGTAGCTAATTCCTCAAGTATCTCCATTAGCTACAGTTCTCACAGCACCTCTTAGAGTCCTAGAGTCCCAGGCTCACCCTGGAGTATCAGAGTTTGGACTCAGGGAAGGGGGCTTTAAAGAGACTTTTGTCAAACCAGAGAGACCTTATTTTTATTTGCCTGGGGCTCCCAAAGAGAAGAGCATGTTGTGAGTTTTTCAGACTCCCCTGTGGTGACCTGAGAATGGACCCTTTCTGTTGCCACTCCTTCGTACTGACTTGGCAAGGGTTTTCAATACCCCTCCCATCTTACCCCTCCACTCCTGCCCCCAGGGAGCCTCCACCTGATGATTTTATGACAGGCCCAGGTGGGCATGAAGGCCAGCCACCAAGTTTATGCTCTCAAACTGGGGTTCTAGTGTTGAGGTGGGTAATCTGTAGCTGGTTTAATTGGGACTAAAATAAGTAACATTGCATTATTGCTTGTCACTTACTACACTTTGAGGGAGGGATTTTGATTTCTTAACTATAGCACAGGGGATGGAGCCCATTTCAGAGTCAGTGGATGTTTCAGGTTTCTGCTCTAGTGTTTTTACTAATTCTTTAGATGCCAGGGTGGAGACTACTTCCAGTGTGGTTGTGTGTCTGAGCGTCTGCCCTCTCCTGGGAGAGCAGCCTGTGAGACCAGTGCCTCTGAGGACTGTGCTCCGCCCACCTCTAAGCCCTCTTCATGTTCTTCCTGTCCTCTCCAGCACCCTTGCAGCAGTGTGTGGAAGATCGCCAGATCTGCCCTTCCCTGGCTGGGTTCCAGTTCACTAAATGGGACAGTGAAACACATAATGAGGTGTGGTCAACTTTTGGACTTCTGAGGGCTTGGGCATTTCTCCAATAGCTCATGGTTTCAGTGCGATGGCCTCAAATTAGTTCTGCCCAGTGGGAACCAAAACTGTGGCATCATTTTTATTTAGCCAGGAGTACAGAAAATATTTCCTTTGGCCCTTCTCTAGGGACCAAAACCTCAGGGGGAGGGGGACTGTGGGAGTGTGACTGTGAACTCCAGCAGGAACATTAGACAGCTAAAGGAATTCTGGGATCAGTTTTCTGTCCCTCTTCTTTGCTTCCCTACGGTAAGGCAGCTCTGCCATTCCTGGGTGTACCTTTTTAACCAAATTTACTCTTGAACATGGATCTCTCAGTGGCCGCTGGTTTTTCAGACTGCTGTCAAGCTCGAGGAATTTCCTGCTCTTCAGGGTTGAGTCCCTTGGCACAGAGTTTTCTGAGAAATTGTCATGTGTAGAGCTTTCCTCTGTTTATTTTTAGCATGGCCCCCTTTAGCCTACTTACTACAGTTTCCAAAATAAATGGTCTCCATGGAAAACTGTTTTCTCTAAACATGTAGTTAATGGACACAGATTCCTGTTTTACAAAGTGTGCCTAGCGACAAAACAGCTTCATCCTGTGCTGCACAATATAAACTTCCTCAGCGCTTTACTATCATGAGAACATTTACTCTGGGGGAAGGAGCGGAAAGAAGGCTGGAAACTGTAATTTTGAGGCAAGAAGGCACATCTAGTAAGACTGTTCCTCCTAACTGGGTGGTTGTAGGAATAGGGGAAATTGATCCTCTCTTTGTCCCCTCCAGTCTGTATCGGCCTTGGTGGACAAGTTTAAGAAGAATGATCAGGTGTTTGACATCAATGCAGAGGTAGAGGAGAATGACTGCGGGGACTTCCCAAATGGGCCCCTGGAGGACGACTTCGATGCCAACGATGATGCCAGCGATGAGCCCAATCACACTGTAGCTGGAGATCAGACAGAGATTGGGAGCTGGGAGCAGTCCCGCCACGTTGAAAGTTACCAGTAAGGCTCTCTGGACCACAGAAGGTGTTCCCTTGGGAGTGTCCCACCAGTTCTTAAGAGTCCCTGCCGGAACAGTCTCATTTCATCTCTGAATTGGCTGGACCGCTGTGCAGTGTTGTCCGCACTGACCGGGCCATTCTGACTCATGGTGGAATGTTGGCTCAGCCAATTATTGAGTATAAAACTGACACTGCAGGAGCTTATAAGGATAGAACTAAATTATATGAGGTGCTGAAAAGAAGTGCCTGAGATATGATAGCTCCTTATTACCACTTGCCTTTCGGTACCATGGAGGACGCTCCCTCTGTGCACTGCCTGTGTCTGACTTTTGGCTAAATCATTCCATATCGTTTATGGGCATAAGGAACTCCCCTGCCTAAAGGGTCAAGCAAAGAGGGAACGGGGCAGTGTTGGGTTGCCAGAAAGTTAAGGCAGTACTGAGCAAAATTGGAGAATGAAAGAAGCAACAAAATTGAGCATATTGGACTGGGTTTGGAGAGGTGGTAGAATTAGCCTGTAGTAATACCGTCTTGATTAATAAACATCATAAAAAGAAAATCATAACTTAATGTACTTAATAGGTTAGTACTGTTTTAATTTTGAATTTATGATTTAGGAGTGGGGTTCCATAACCCTTTAATGTGAGGGCCTCTCAAGGTCTTGCATGGGCCTCTAGGTGATTCCACAAGATTAGAACAGACCCTCTGATAACTCCTGCTTCTGCCACTGCAGTTTGGCCAACCTGGGACTAGGGATAGCTGAGCTGGATTAGTACAGGTGAAACAGCTCAGAAGTTGCCATTGTAATTTCCCACCAAGGCCAAAATCCCTTCAAGAGCATTGCTTGGATGTCCCCGGGATAGTAGATTGCTTTCTGGAACTCACCTTGCCCATGTGGGAAATGTCAGACTGAAAACATCTCTTCAAATCTGAGTAGAAATCGAAGGACTAACCAGTTGGCACCTGAAGACAAATTTTACCATTTAGGCCCTGTGGCGCCCTCCTCTCCTGACTTACACTGTAAACACAGTGATTTTGTCCCCCTTCTCAGGCTGTGTTCTAAGTGAGTAATAGTGACCAGGCTGGTGGGATGAGATCTCATATTTTCAAAGTGTAAGAGGCACTATCGCTTCTCCTAAACGGTAAGATGACATCTGAGGAACTGATGGTAGCAGAGGGCTTTAGTCATTTCCATTTCATTAACAAATGTCTCCATTTCTTTTTCTAGTCCCAAATAGAACAAAATCTTAGAATCCAGAGTCTAGAACCTGAGCTAACTCTAGACTAGAGTTTTTGTCCTTCTTGAAACACTCTACTTAACCCTTGGCATGGTGGTGGCTTTCCCCAGGAGCTCAATAAGTGGACTGAACTAGATCTGACCTCCCCATGGATATCTGAAATATGGGGCACCTGGCATCACCTTTTGGTGTCTTAGCTTTCTCAGCCATAAAACAAAGGACCAGAACTAGATGATAATAGTAGTATCTGGTGTTTATTGAGCTTTTATTCTGGCTTGGTGTCAGACACCATGACAGGTTCATTACTTTATCCTTGCAACAATCCTGTTCATTACTTTATCCTTGCAACAATCCTGAGCCTGTTACATCCATTTTACAGCTAAGGAAGCAGACTCAAATATGTCACACAGTAAGTTATGGGGTGGAGCTAGTAGTCACCTAGCGTCTTGACCAATCCTGGCTGTGTATGATGAGCTATGAATGACATACTCCACCCCAGACCAATCAACTGAGTCTCTAAGACCAGGTGTTGTGTCACTTTCCCCAGAATTTCCATAGATAATTGTACTATGCACCTAGGCTTGAAAACACTGCACTCTGCTGAAAGGTCTTTGAGGGCTTGTCTAGCTCAGGGTAGGTAGGGGCAGTGCCGAATTATAGACTCCAGTTTTGTATAGGATTCCCACGTATTCGTCCCTACATGGCAACACTTCAACATCTGTGCACATCAGACATTAGCAAGGACATGTCTGAGAAAGTATGTCTGAGAGCAGCTTGGGTATACCTCCTCTTCCTGTAGCAGAAGCTATATGTTATCTAGTGGATTTGTCTGGTGTGCAGACGTGCCTTTCTTTGTAAGGTGCTTACTGTGGTTAAAGACCTAACCTTTGGTTCAGGCACAGACCACAGCCTGCTCCGTGTATGCAATGAAGAGTCAGCCTGCACACTGCTCCCAGCCAGCTTTTACCTGCAGGTATTAGTACAGTGTGACTGAACCAGTGCTAAGCTGGAGCGGCCCTGAATTGGGACAGAGTAAAAGAAATAGAGTTCCTGCAGAGGGGATTAGAGAAGTTTTGGAAGAGGCAGGACTTGAAAAGGGAGACTGCAGATTAAATCAGTTGCTGGGGTGGGTGGGGGAGTCGGGATCAGTAGGGCATCTGCCACGTAGCATAGTGTTTGAAATAATTGCTAAATAACTAGCATTCAAACCTTTTGGCCCACAGACACCCCGGGATTGGGAACCAACTCTTTGTAACTTGGCCTATAAGTTCCCAATCAATTACCAGCCCTATTAATAAAACTTCAGCTGAGGAAGATTTATGTGAACTGAGTGGAGATGCTGTTGAAGCTGCCTTCTCTCTCCCTCTGGACTTTACAATGCAGGACATGTGCTACTTAGCATAGACTAGTGTCAGGTTCTGTTACTGCACTAGGTCTTACAGACTAGGAATGTCATTTTTTCAGTGTATTTTAATTTTTAAATTTAAGTTTCAGTTACACAATATACAAATATAATTTCCTTTTTTTTTTTTTTTAAAGATTCTGCAGGTAAAGGCAAAGTCCTCTTTTAAAGTTTTTTTTTTTTTTTTTGCTTATTCCATAGGGATTGATGTGAATGGAATTTATATACATTGCTCAATACAGGCCAAAATCCCCTGGTTGTCTGAAGTTTCCTGTTACATTTCCCTTTAGAGGGCAGTATAACAGCACTTTCAGATGTGTCAGAGGCCTGTAGGAGAAAGCTACCTCACATAGTCTAGTACCTTGGAGAAAGGCTAAACGACCAAACCAAATCTGCCACACTGGACTGACCAGTTAGACATTTCACACGCCACAAAGAATAAAGCTGGATAGCTTCACAGACAGATTATATGGAGGGCCCCCCAGTCATCTGGGGGACATAAATTAGAATGACATATTTTCCAGTTTTGGTAGGAACCATAGCAGTGTACGTTGGAGCCTTCATTTATGGAAGGATGGTGAAGAATGGATGTGTAGTCATCTTGTGTGGCAGAAAGTCTTGTGTGCAAAAATCGTGGAGCTGACCTTCAGCTTTGGCAATTTGCTAGCTGTGTAGTCTTATGTAAAAACTTATTTTCTCTCTACCACTGTTTTCTTAGCTATCAAATGGGCAAACTTATGTTTTTTGAAGTACTTTGAGATATCAGATGTACTTGTATAAATATGATCATACAAAACTAAATGCAAAGTACTAAGTAAAAACTAAGGAATTATTGGACTTAGAAATGTGTCTCAGTTGTGTTGAAGTGGTTAGGTAGAGTCTTCACATATACGTAAAAACATGATTTCACATGTGTTACAGAGAAGAAATGATTCCCCTTGGAGATGGAGATATCAGGACCATGTGCCCCCTTCTATCCATGAAACCTGGAGAATATTCCTACTTTAGTCCCCGTACCATGTCGATGTGGGCTGGCCCTGATCACTGGCGCTTTAGACCCCGACACAAACGTATGTACTTCTTGATGAAACTTTAAAAGAGTGTAGATGACAAGTCACTCAGCAGTTTAGCTAAGGAAGGGAAATTCCAGTCGTTGTCCTGTTGTGTCTCCTGATAAGCTAAAGAAGCATACAGATAAGCTGGCCTCCAGTTGGCCTGGCCTGAGTTAAGGGGTCAGTTAAGTTTGAGGGCTCTGAGTGGAAAGAGTACTTGGAGTCAAGGAAATTGGGCCCATGACTTTGTACTATTTGATAGTATCCATATGACTTCAAACAGTGGCCATTGGTGGGAATGACCATGCTCTCTGGAGGGTCCCACGTGAGTTAGTGCAAGAGGCTGCACTCTGAAGGACTGTGCCCTTCCAGGTTTTGCATTTGGTCTTTGAAAAGAAGGAATTATCATGTATTTTGATAGCATACAAAAAATAAGGATGAAATGTGTGATTTGCTTTTCCTAGTGCTGTTATGATTCTCAAACATGCTGCCTTGTGGCTAAGGCTGCCCTGGATCTTGTGAGAGGCATAAATAACTTTGGCCAGAGAGGTGAAACAATGTTGACATCTGTTTTCATTTCTGCAGAAGTCGCTGCCTCACAATCAGAGAACAGAAAGAAAAGCACAAAGAAAGATTTTGAAATTGACTTTGATGATGATATTGACTTTGATGTATACTTTCGAAAAACAAAGGTTTGTACAGATTTATTGACACATGCTTTCTTCAGTTACTTTTTGTATTCCTTTCTCCCTTTCTGATGAGAGATTTTTAAAATTCATTATAAATTTAACTTTTAGAGTAAATGAATGGCTTTTGTTTTCCATCAGTCCCTAAAGGAATTGAGAAATAGTCCCAGACTAAGTGGAAGAGAGAATTAATTTTAGAATATGAACAGTGACTAGCAGAATCACTCTTTTACACAGAACTGGGAACTCTGATCTTTGCTGCTGTTCAAACCCCAAGCACCTTCCAAAAAAAAAAAAGAGCTTTCTTGTTAAAGATACCTAAAAAACTTCTCTTTTTAAAAATTAATAGGCTGCCACTATTCTGACCAAGTCTACTCTGGAGAACCAGAATTGGCGAGCCACTACTCTTCCCACGGATTTCCACTATGAGACTGATAATCTTGTCCAGCTGCATCTCAAACCAGGCACCAGGGTAAGGCTGTTCCTCAAGGCTGCTGCTGTTGAACCTGTCTGTAGCCTGGGAGCTATCCAGTGGCTGGTAGCATGACTGTCAGTGCGCTTGAGGAGTGTGTGATAGTCATGGAAATTACTGGGAGATGAAAAGAGGAAAGCCGAGCTAAAGCTTACAGAATAGATGGTCACTAAGGACTCAAAAACAACTCACTTGGTTAGAACGCAGGGCACCGGGGCCTGCATGCTGAAATGCTAGGAGAGAAACAATCTTTTGTTGAGGTATTTACAAAAATGATAGGTATTTCTTGATTTTCTCACGTTCCAGTTGAAATTGTGGGTTTATTAGCCAGATGCGTTCTCCAGCCCACATTGCCTCCCTCCTGAGCAAGATGTAAATGTGAGCCCGCCGTGATGCATGGGGTAATGGAAGGTCTGACTGTAGAGCCCTCGGAAAGCTCCCCAGTTCTGGTCTTCCTAGACTCCTTCTAGGACTGTTACGTTCTCTAGACCACCTGCTGCTGCACCTCAATCACTGTTCATTTCCCTGTGACTTTTCTTTGATGCTGGTAGCAAGTGACCGTCCCTGTTGCCAGGGTAACCAGGCAGTGATTGATGCTAAGTTCCATTTTATCTGGACCTTCTACTTATTTGCATTCCTTGTGGTTCTAGTCTCTGGTATCAAGTGTATATAGCCTACGCTTTCCTCTTCCTTGTTTTGCCTATATTGTATTCTGTTTTTATAAACCAACTGAATATTTCTAACAACTAAGTTTTCTAATCAATACGGTTTACTTAATAGAAATACTCTCAAAAATGCAGAAAGAGAAACGAAGTTGCAGCCATAGTAGTAACTATTTGCGATACCAACCTTGCTCTAATCAGAAAATAGAGCCTTGTGGGGTAGAGGGAGCAGAACCAGGAACATGATCAGACACTTCATCAAGACTTGCATGGCCTCCATGTCCTTTCTGTGGTCACGAGTCACCCTTCCGTCCCTTAAGCCCTTATTTTGATCATTTGGAGAATGTAACCTAAGTAGTGATTTGCATGTTCAGGTGGTAGAACAAAATAATTTGTTCATTACACTCCAGGGATTGTTGTTTCTTTGCTCTTTGTTGTAATTATTTATTTATTTTTAAAAGATTTATTTATTTATTTATACAAGCACTGGGTACAGTCAGATGCGCGGGAGGGTGAGAGAATTCACCGGAGCCAGAGTGGGGAGCAGAGCAGGCAGAAGGACCGAAGTACACTGCTGAGGGGAGCAGTGGGCGGCAGGAGGGGTCTGTGTGCCATGTCGGACCTTCCTCCGGTGGCCGGGGAGCAACCGGGGATCGAACCAGCGCTGCAGAGGCTGCGGGCGGCTTCGCAACCCAGCGCTCAACCGCTGCGCCACCGGGGAGGCCCTGTTGTAATTATTTCTTACAGAGGAAGGAACTTGTGACTATCCTCAGGAACATATTTCCCTGTGACCCATAAGGCAGTCAGGCAACAGGGTTCATTGGGAAAATGACTATCCAACATCGGAAATTAAAAACTGGAGCGCTGCACACTATTTGTGTAGGGACTATAGAGAGCACCAACCCGTCCAGTTGAATGTCAGTATTTCTAGTATGAATTAATTAGTTATTACACAAGAGGGGCACATCCACTCCGGAAATATTTCTTGTAGACTATGGACAATTTTGCATGTGCCTGACGGAGAGTATCCTGAATGAATAGGGACTTGAAAATTGTGGCATATCAGAAACAGTGGAAGAAAGTGGGTGTGTCTTAATTCAATAAGTATCAGTTGTTTAATATTACTTCTGGATTTGCATTACAAAAAAATTGTGAGTTCTTTTTGACCACTTTTGGAGTTCATAGTTGTACTGAAATATTTAGTATGCTTTTGTAAACTGTACACACCGTCAACCCCATGTCTTTCACCCCAAAGACACATACCTCAGGTAAAAATCACTGGTGTGTGGGACGACAAATAGCCAAATGACTGTGGTTACAGGCAGTCCCTAAAGAGGAGGCAGCCTTGTTCTGTGAGATGCTGGAAGGCAGAGAAAGGACTCTGGCTGTCATGACAGGAAGAAGAGATATTTCTTCCTGTGGCTGTATAGATGAGAGTGATAGCCTCAGCAGTGGGACAGGCTGCCTAGAAATTAAAGTAGTGGGTGAGTTTTATCTCAGAATGTTCTTGCAGCAACAAATTGACTTTTCTTCAGATCATTATAGGTAGTTTTGGTTTTGGTGAAGCAACCCTTTTTCAAATAATAATGTGTGCAGACCTAATTGTTAATCAGCCTCTCTGGTTTCTTTGGAATGGATGGAGACCGCTGCCCTGTGCTTGCTCTAGGACAGAGTTGCGCAGTTGAAAATTGGTTAGATGAGATGACTTCGCAGGGCCCTTATAACTCTAAAGTTCTATAATTCTAGAACTATAATATATAGTTTATAGACTCCTAAATTCTATAATAAGAACTTAGATGACTTCTCCAACTTAGTGACTAATTTTCTAGAAATTGCTTTCCTGCACTTGTTCTTTCCTTCATTCTAGTTACGTGGGATGTCCCAAGGCCAGGGGGCAAGCACTGAGCATTATGAAGAAATTGAAGACTATGATTACAACAACCCTAACGATACCTCTAACTTTTGCCCTGGACTGCAGGTAAGTGGAGAGAAGAGCTTTGTCTTCCCTTCTAAGAAGAGAGTTTCTTTCTTGCTTCCCATCTCCCCCTTGCCTATATGGCTGAAACCTGTAGGAAATTCTGAATCAGGTGGGGTTTTGTGGATGCTCACTTGCCCTAGACATTAGGGAACTGAGCAGAGTTGAGGAAACAGCCAAAACTTTGGCCCGCCTTACCTCAAGCAAGAAGCAAAGGGATGCATTCTAATAAACCAGTCATTGTGTGGATGGAGTCTTTAGGCTGTGCAAAGCACTTATCTTAGCATCTTAGCTATTTTGGCATTTCAAAGGAAAAGGAATACTGTTCTTGCTCTTGGAGCTCATATTTTGGTTGGGGAAACAAAACACTTAGGCATGTGAAGATGGCATGATCATATGGAGGGGAACAGTCTCTGGGGTGGCCCTTCGGGTGCCATGTTTGTATTTCTGATTTTGGTCCTCACTGTGAATTTGTATAAGTCATTTCCCACATTTAGATCTTGGTTTATACTAATTTTAATATCCCTTCTGTGAGTAATTAGTAATAATGAGGTGGCAAACACAAGTAATAGAAGAAGGAAAAGCCAAAAGAGATACTGTAGCAGCTATGATTATGAATTCCTTTTACCTCTCACTGCAGAAGTCTTCGTTAACAGATCCTCCTCCCCCAATAGTTATAATAGGAAGATAACTAGAGACACCTACAAGTCCCTCCTAGATTTGACCCATGTAATGAACTCTCAGGTGCTTTGCTCTTGGTGTGAAAATAAGCAGTCTGTTTCAATGGTATTCTTAAACCTCTCAGACAGCTTCTGCCAAACTTGAAAAGCTATTTCCTTGCTCAGGCTGCTGACAGTGATTATGAAGAATCGGATGACTTATTCGTGGGACCAGTTGGGAACTTTGACCTTACATCTAATTCTTGCCATCCATCTAAGACAACACAAGAGGATGATGATACACCAGGAGTCCAGGGATTAGACATCACCACTTACGGGGAGTCAAATCTGGTAACTGAACCTCAAAAGGTAGGGATGAAGCCAAGAATTATATTTTATATAGTTTGCCTGAGATCAAATTGATTTACCTCCATATGACCGTCAAGTTGGTCTGAATGCTTGTGTTTTTTTTTTTTTTTTTCATTTTGATTTTAATCCATTGGTCTCCAAATGGCTGATTCTCAAATAGGTATATAGGTGTATAGGAAATGAGCTGACGTGAATTAGGTTTGTATGGAACTAACCATCTCTCCAAAGGAACTAGTCATAAACCATATGACTGGGGCATATCAGTTACACTAGTCAAGTACGTGATGAGGGCCGCAGGCAGAGAATGCGGGTTTGATGCCGATTGGATGACGCTGGCATTTTCGCCCTCAAAAATCTGCCCAGATTAACTTCCAGTTAAATTGTTATGCCTTAAACATCTGTTTATTCCATATCAGGTAACAGACCTGGTGCTTTCATACATACTTGAAGCACTTACCTCTTTTACACTGGAAGTCCAGGTTAGCCTTAATGTAGATTGCTCTAGGAATTAGATTGAAATGAGGGACTCTATTATCGTGTATCCAAAGAAAGTTCTATAATGCCTTGGTTTTAACTTGATTCTGGCTTTTGATTTTCCAGTGAGTTGAGAGCAAATGTTCTTTCTTCTGCTTAGTTTTATTTTGTCATGTACCTATTACAGGTAAATAAAATTGAAATTCATTATGCTAAGACTGCCAAAAAGATGGACATGAAGAAGTTGAAGCAGAACATGTGGAGTTTGCTGACAGAATTTTCCAAGCAAACAGACACAGAGGTAATGTGTTCCACTTACAGTGAGAAGAAAGTGGCTGATGTCTACAGCTCCATAGTCATCTGCACTAATGCAGAACACATTCATTCAGAAATAAAAGGAAGAGTGTTGTCACATCTCTGAAAGAGAAATGATTCAAGTGTATGAACAGACCAGTCACACAAGAGGTGACATACAAAAGGTGATACAGACAGTAACTCTAGTGCATGGGACATTATTCAGCCTTTCTGATAACGAAAAAATACAAAGAATGCTTTTTATGCTGCTTTAAAATAACAATTTTTAACTATCAGACAATGTTTTCCTGTATGGAGTTGAAGAAAAATTGGAGTACTTATTCACTGCTGATGCAATTTAAGTTGATAATTTTCCTTCAGAAAGCAAGTTCTAACATCTCAGGTACCATAAAATGTTTAAGAATTTTGATTTAATAATTCTGATTTGGGAAATGTATTCTAAGTCAGAAATAGTAAAAAAGAAATTATGCTGTCACATTGTCTCTTTCTTCATCAGAGCAAGGTAAGACCTTGTTTCACTCGTGCCAAGTAAATGGAGCTCTTAGCTAAATAGAATCCTTCCATCTCGTTCGTCTTCTGAACCTCTTAGGTTCAGGGAGTGTTCTGAACTCTCCAAGCTCACCCCATTATCTCACCTGCTCACTGAGAAGGGAAAATTCATGATTTGATTGAGAACTCTAGGCTGTGTTGTTTTGGATATCAGATAAAGCTTCAGTCCATTCATAAGACTTTATCAACTAAAACAGAATGGGATACAAATGTAAGGAAAATGTGCATTTAAAAGTAGGAAGAGGTTTCTGATTGTCTTAGAATTTAAATGGCTTTTTTTTTTTAATTTTCTAAGTTTTTTTTTTTTTTAAGATTTATTTATTTATACAAGCACTGGGTACAGTCAGAAGCGCGGGAGGGTGAGAGGATTCGCCAGAGCGGGGAGCAGAGCAGGCAGAAGGACCGAAGTACACTGCTGAGGGGAGCAGCGGGCGACAGGAGAGGTCTGCGCGCCATGTGGGACCCTCCTCCGGTGGCCGGGGAGCAGCTGGGGATTGAACCGGCGCTGCAGAGGCTGCGGGCAGCTTTGCAACCCAGCGCTCAACCGCTGCGCCACTGGGGAGGACCAAATTTATTTTATTTATTTATTTTTTTAAGATTTATTTATTTATTTATTTATTTATTTATTTATTTATTTATTTATTTATTTATTTATACAAGCACTGGGTACAGTCAGAAGCATGGGAGGGTGAGAAAATTCACCAGAGCCAGAGCGGGGAGCAGAGCAGGCAGAAGGACCGAAGTACACTGCTGAGGGGAGCAGTGGGCGGCAGGAGAGGTCTGCACGCCATGTGGGACCCTCCTCCGGAGGTCGGGGAGCAGCTGGGGATCGAATCGGCGCTGCAGAGGCTACCGGCAGCCTCACAACCCAGCGCTCAACCGCTGCGCCACCGGGGAGACCCGGGAGGCCCAAATTTAAATGGCTTTTAATGATAGCCTGTCCTCTAGGGATTCTGGTTAATTAAAAGTATCCTTTTTTTTTCTTCTAAACTTATAAAACAAAAATATTCAAACATAAAATTAAAGAGGAAAAAGAATAGTATAATGAGTGCCCATTTTACCAGTGTTTTGGCTGTACTGTCACCCAGTCCTGTCCTTCTCCCCACTCCCTATAAGTGCATTTTGAGTCTCATAATTGTTTAGCAACGAGGCAGTCCCTATTAGTGTCTGTATTTTAAGTGGAAAGTGTGTTACTTAGAGTTATGGAGTCTGTGCTGCCTGTGATGATACCAGCATTGATACCTGTGATTACTGTAACTCAGTAAATGTCCGTGTCATCACCCAAGGCCAAGGCACTGGGTCCCCTTATTGATCCTTACCCCCCAAATATTGTAAATTGTTTGATTTCATTCGGATGTAGATGTTTCTTTTTGGAGATATAATTTTGTAAGTTTATGTTGCTCTCTCAAAATTGAACTGGCCTTAAATGTCTGCTCTGCAAATGTCTTCTGTTAGGCAAATCACCGAAAAGAAGGGGCCCCAGAAGAGGTGGCTGATGAGAAGATGTTCAGCGGGCTCACGAAGGACCTGCGGAAGAGGTGCGTGCCCGTCAGCGCCTGCTCATGTTCCCCCGGAGCCCAGTGGAGCATGCTGTGGCCCCAGCCCTTAGTGGGACAGATCACTGCACAGATAATTGCAGTTTTTTGTTTCTTTTTGGCATCGATAAATGAGTTACTATAGACCAACTTTAAAAAGGCATTGTTCTGCTCCAGTACCTGAAATGGAACACGAGATACTTTATCTCCAGATGAGAAGCCAGCTTATAAGATGCATCTGAAATATTTCTCAGTTTCTTATTAGGTTGTTCACTGGATATGTATACTCATACTTGAAAGAGCATTTTTCCCTAGAAGCACAGTATCCCAGCTAAGTGCTTGCCTCTTTGTTTCACAGCCTGCCTCCCCTCATGGCTGAAAACCTTTCTATTCCTCTGGCCTTCGCCTGTCTCCTACACTTAGCCAATGAAAAGGTAGGTAAAGCTGGTAAGCAAAGGAGTGTTCTCTGTGTCAGCCTCTCTGAACATTTTGTTAGACCTGTCATGGGAAACCTCTTAAATATAGTGACAATGCACTGCCCTCAGCCCAGAGGATTAAGCAGGCCTTGAGAAGCAACTTAGTAAAAGGCTGTCAGTTGTAATTAGCAATGAAAATAATGCGGGCCCAAATGGGAAGATTTTAGATGTTGAAATTGTGATGGCAGTTCCCAACTTGAGAAAGTCATTTTGATATCCTTGGATGTCAGTGCTCTAAAGGGCAAATTCTGCTACTGCCGAAGTCACGACATGTGGCTACAGCAGAGAAAAGAGATAAGGATGAAAGGGAGGAAGGTGTGGGGGGAGAGAATAGCTAGTAAAATATGGAGGCAGTGGCCACCAAGAGCAGTGAAGAGAGCCTTGGGAGTAGAGAGATGTATCACAGGAGGGAGACAGTGGAGTTGCCTATGGTGAAGGTATGCCAGGCTCCTTGTACTGTGCCCATCAGCAGAGCCAAGGGAGTGTGGGGCAGTTATTGAAAGAGCCATTGGAGACCCACCTTCTCAGGAGCCTATTGGTGCTACCTGGGAGGCACCCCGGGGCAGCCAGCCACAAGCCTGTATGTTTGCACTGCCAGGGACCTGATGTCCTTTAGTGTCTCCAGGCAGCTGGTCCCTGCTGCAGACTTTGGCACTTGAAGTTGAGGACTGTGCCTAGGCTTTAGTTTAGACCTCGAGCTTCCATATGCCTCAGGCTGCCTAGCTGCCACTGTACACCACCATTTAGAGTTACACCTCCTCCAGGGCAGGTGTGCTGCCCCAGAGGGGAGAGGTGGGTGTGAGAGTGATAACTGATACTTCCTGAACACTGAAGTATGGCTTGAGAGATAAGATAAGATTGATTAGAGATAAGATTAGATAAGATTGGAATGAAATGGTAGAAAAAATGGGTGCTGGTAGAAGTGCCCAGTGTTTCCTACATGTTATTTCCTGACCTCTGGCCTCATAATGCAGCCAGCAGCAGAGGCGACTGGCTTCGTGTCCCAGGCTTGGCTTGGCTTTGAATGGCCGTCAGGCTCAAAGGAGAAGAGGCTCCCTGACAGAATGGCCTGGGTACATAGTTGCCGGCCTGTCCAGTGGGCCTGCTGCTGGGAGCAGGGACCACCTTTTCTCTTGCCAGTTTCTAGGCTCGTGACCTCAGTGAAGAGGAAACTGTCCATCTGGCTGAAGCTGGTTTTGATTTTGGGTGGGGAACAGATATAGACGAACCACTGAGCCCAGGCAAGTGCTGCGTGTTTCCGACTGTGGTGCCACAGGCGTCTTTAGCCACGAGTCTGGGAGGTCACACCTGAGGCCCGAACAGAATATCCAGCTTTGCTCCCAAGACTGAGTGTCTTTGTGTCAGAGCCATTGTGAATGGTTTCCGGCCCAAGAACACTGAACTTCCGTGGCTGCTGGCTGGAAGGCAGACTGGAGAGAAGATGTGTCCTTTTTAGGAGTCAAGAGGCGAGGCTGGGGCATGCAGCCACTGCCCGTGTTTGTGGAAGAGAAAATAATTGATAAAAGGACATGTACAAGCATCCTGACAAAATATCTACAATTTTGGCTCTGAAGAGGATACCTCACTGGGGGCAAGGGAGGGGGGCATCATGAAAGCCACCCATTTGACACGTGGAAATCTCACTGTTGAGCTGTTATGGGGAATCTTTATGGGCGTAGGTACTGTGGGTTCTTCCGCTGGGTGTGTTCTCCTAAAGGGTAGGGTACACCCAACAATCAGTCTCTTGAATCCAAAGTTAAACTATTACTACTGATCTCACTCAGTTGCCCAAGTGGCAGTGCAACCCCAGAGTCAATGGATGGGGTTGGTAAACACACCCACTTCCAGGGCCAGGTGAGGGGAAGGGCAGAAAGGCTTCTGACTATTGTTAGTCTTGAGAGAGCAATTGCCTGAGATTGGTGGAGAATTCATGGGGCAGCAGTGCTAGGTGTGGGAGGAGTTGAGAGGTAGGGGAAAGTTCTGGGTAGAGATGGGAGGGAGAGGGCCTTGGCGGAAGGAATTAATAAGTGTGTGTTGCAGCTCCTGGTGGCCTCTCCATCCCCTTGCTCAGCTCCTTCCAGGGCAAATAGCTTTCCTGTTGGACCCTCTGCAGAGGATGATTGCTGCAGGAATCAGAGCCAGAGATGGCTACCTTTGGCATTTTGGCCTTGTGATTGGCATCCTTTGTCCTTATGATTTGGAACCAGCTTTATCATACAAATTATGTTTGCTGTGACATAACTTTACTTACCATCATGGTTTAGCCTTTATTTGTAATCACTACCTTGTTACCTGCATTAGGATTTGTTTTATGACCCTCATATTCTCAAGTTCACGTGTTTAATCTTTTTCAGAATCTCAAGCTGGAAGGAACTGAGGATCTTTCTGATGTCCTTGTGAGGCAAGGGGATTAAATTCCCTGAGGTGGGCAGCTGGGATCTCATCACTTCATTGGTGACCAACATGTTTCCACCCTGGGTGCTTTGATGCAGTCCCTCACAGCTGGGAAGCAGCACCATGAAATGCTGTTCTTGATTCAAGTGTTTGGCCTGTGGTGACCATCTAGAAATGGAGGTCAGGGAGAGGGGCTGTTCTTGATATGAAAACCAATAGCCTTTCTTTGTGTTCATGTATAGTTTGGCCTCCTAAGTTGATCTGTGTTATTTTCCATATTTGACTCTTGTAGAAAACCATTTCCTAGTAGACATTTTGTCCTTAAGCAGCTACCAAATCTATGTACATACGTATATGTGCGTTTATAAATGTATATATAATGCTTAAAAATAAAATCATTCTGAATAATCTGCTGGCAAAATATTTGAGTACCCTCTATATAAGTATTAATCTGGTCCTTACCTTCAAAGGGGATGCAGTCTTATTAGCTAGACATGATACCCACCTGTCAGTGTAAGGTAGGAAATGCTTTAGTGCTAAGGTGATTTGCTTTTAGCAGAATGGAGGAGAGAGAAATCACTGACTAGAGAATCAGCTTTTGAGACTGGGTCCATTGGGCCTATGAATTCTGCTGGAGGATGATGGTAGTAAAAATTGCTAACATTTAAGTGGCTGAGTACTTCTGTGGATTACTTCATTTAGCCTTCTCCGCATCTCTGTGCAGCATTCGGTGGCCATGCCCATTTTGTAGATGAGATCTTTGTGGAAGCAGGGAAGTGGGCAGGTGGAAGAGGGGAGGAGGAGCAGTGATGCAAGGGGCTGGAGACACCAGAGGGTAGCACGTCCTGCTGCCTAGACAGGGAAAGGGCTCTTGAGACCCTCTGATCAAGAATGAAAAGAGGGTTCCACAATACCAGTGAAGGCTGGCAAGGCATCAGTGTCTTGTTTATGGAAAGAGCAAGAAAGCTCTGAGGAAACCTCTTTGGATATGAGAGACTCTCCATGCCTATAGGGATCTATAAAGGCTTTAGGGCTGGGATGGATTTGAGAACAAAAGAATTAAACTCTTTTTTAAATTTTATTTATTTTATTTTTTATTTTTTAAATTTTATATATTTTTTACATCATTTTTTATTTTTGCACAATGTGTCCATTTTCATCTTGGTTATAGTCCCCATACAATTCCCACCACCCTTGTTTTGATCCAACTCCCTCCTCCCTCTAGTGTGTCTCTGGTTTATAGTTGCTGGTTGATTTTGATTTTTACTTTACTATAATTAGTTTTTTTCCTGGTCCCTTATTTAGGGTTTTCTAAAAAGAATTAAACTCTTGGCTGAGAAGGCAAGGAGGGGGGACTAGGCTACAGAGCATTTATTGTTGCTCATTGTGGGCACCGATCAGCTGCAGCTCGGTGGTCATGCAGGCTTATGACCATGCTCAAGTGAAGCTTGAGGCTGCATGCCCACAGCTCCAGGGTAAACCAGTCTGATCTCAAGGTCTCTTTTTTTCTTTCATAGCAGCCAACTTGATAAGCTGCAAAGAGATAACGCAGGAATGCCCATGCTGGGGAAAAATTAGTAATAAAAAACAACAGGTCAAGGAAATTTATGATAGGTGTCTAGGCCTAGAGTCATCAGGTTTGCTTAACCTCTTGCTTACCAGTCTGTGGGGACAGCAAAGTATTTTCCTTGAGTCCCATCCTGTCCTTGTCCTAGGACCTTCCTCTCTCATGTGCATTTAGGGAGCATCCTTACCTAGTATGATCTTATCTTGACCCTTAATTACATCTGCAAAGGCCCATTTCTAAATAAAGTCACATTCAAAGTTCCTAGGTAGACACGAAATCTGGAGGACACTATTAAACTCAGTACAGATGGTTAAACATAGAGGTAGACGGATTAAAGAGCAGGTATTGGATGAAGGGTGTTATGGACTGAATCATGCTTCCCTGATTTGATTATTTCCAGGTCTAACCCCCAGAATCCCAGAATATGACTGTATTTAGAAACAGGATCTTTGGGGCCTCCCTGGTGGCGCAGGGGTTAAAGACAGCACTATCAAGCTACTGCCAGCCTCTACACCACGAGTTCAGTCCCCAGCCAGCCAGGGAGCAACCCACATGGTGGGTGCAGCGGACTTCTGCTGTCTTGCCCACTGCTCCCCTCAGCAGTATGTTTCAGTCCATCTTCCTGTTCTGTTCCCCATTCTGTCTCCGGTGAATCCTCTCACCTCCTGCTTCGGGCTTACACCCCAGCTCTTGTATGCATGAATAAATAAATCTTAAAAAAAAAAAAAAAAGAAATAGGATCTTTGAAGATTTTTAAAGTTAAAATGGAATTCTTAATGAGGGCCCTAATCCAGTCAGTATGAGTGGTGCCCTTATAAAAAACGGGGAAATTTGGATGCAGACACCCCTGGAGGGAAAACACCATCAACTTGATAATGGTCTACAAACAATTATGTGGAAGAAAACAACAAAAGAACCCCAAGTTTTAAAAAGTAGGCTATATGTAAAAACCCAAATATAAACTATATGTTTACACACGCACACACACACACACATGTGTACACATAATGCATATGAATGTGTAAATGTTATGGGTTCAATTGTGTCTCTTAAAAAAATGTTGAAGTCCTATCCTGTTATTGTGACCTTATGTGAAAATAGCATCTTTGCAGATGACCATGTTAAGATGAGGTCATTAGGGTGATCCTGACCTCTACAAAGTCAGAGCTGTGTCCCTGATGCCCAGTTAGGATGAAAATCCCTAAGACATCGGTGCTTCAAGCACAGATAGGCTTACCGCCAGTCAACGAGCAAGGAAACGGGAGGGAAAAAATCTCAAATATGCCTCCCCAATTAGGAAAGAAAATGGGGTTACATAGGTTTTGGGGCCCAAGATTGAGAACAAAGGAGCTAAATTTTATTGGCTTAAAAGCAGGTTAGGGACAAAGAAATATGGATGTGGTTGAAGCTCACTGACTAGTCGCAGGACTTTTCATAGAGGAAGCTTTTCTTCAGGTACCTGGAGTTTTGAGTTTCTGTTGGAGCACCCCACCTCTGGGTAACCCCTCCTCTGTGTGACCTAGGTCTCCAGCTGGCCTTGGACCTCAGCTCAAGGGTAGTTGACAAGTCTTCAGCCTTTGCTGTGTCTGTAAAAACATGACTCAGAAAAGTTTATATAACACTTTCCTCTTTTTTTTTTTTTATAACTATTATTATTTTTTAAATATTTATTTTTATTTATTTATACAAGCACTGGGTACAGTCAGAAGCGCGGGAGGGTGAGAGAATTCACCAGAGCCAGAGCGGGGAGCAGAGCAGACAGAAGGACCGAAGTACACTGCTGAGGGGAGCAGCGGGCGGCAGGAGAGGTCTGCGCGCTTTTGGGACCCTCCTCCTGTGGCCGGGGAGCAGCCGGGGATTGAACCGGTGCTGCAGAGGCTTTGGGCAGCTTCGCAACCCAGCGCTCAACCGCTGCGCCACCGGGGAGGCCTTTTTTGTTCTTAGGGTCGAAGTAATTTAGCCAGTTAGGTTTGGTTTCAGGGATGGGTACAAATCCAAAATGATTGGTGTCTTTATAAAAAGGGACCTAGTACATACCTATTAGGATGGCTACTATCAAAAACAAAACAAAAAAGCCCCAGAAGGGCCTCCCTGGTGGTGCAGGGGGTTAAGACGCAACCTATGAAGCTATCCACAGCCTCTGCAGCATGAGTTCAATCCCCCACCAGGGAGCAACATACATGGCGCAGCAGACCTCTCCTGTCTCACCCGCTGCTCCCCTCAGCAGTGTATTTCGTGGGTCTGCCTGTTCCCCCACTCTGTCTCTGGTGAATCACCCCCCACACCTCTGGCCTGTACCCCAGCTCTTGTATGCATAAATAAGTAAATCTTAATAAAAAAAAAAAGCAAAAAAATCCAACAAACCCAGAAAATAACAGTGTTGGGGAGGCTGTAGAGAAACGGGAACTCTGCACTACTGGCAGGAATGTAAAATGGTGCGGTGGCTATGAAGACAATATGGCAGATCTTCAAAGAACTAAAGGCAGAATTACTATATGATCCAGCAATTCCACTTCTGGGTATCTACCCAGAAATTGAAAGCAGGGTCTTGAAGATGTGTTTGTACATCTGTTCACTGCAGCATCATCCACAGTAGCCAGAGGTGGAAGCAATCCTAGAGTCCCATTTGGGCAACCATGCTGAAAATTACTTTGACCCAGAGTGGAGGGAACTGCTTGGGACTCTGAGCTGAGATCCACTGAACGCTGCGGCTCTGCCACCAGTTCCTTCTAGGACATGGGCAAGTCACTTCCTATCCCTCTAGCCCTTGGTTCCTCATGTGTAAACATTGGGTTGAATGGGCCTCTTCCAGCTGGCAAGTTTTTCATTTGTTGAAAACAATGGCCCCTCTGTTCCAGCCAGGCAACAATATGGCTTTACTGCCTCAGACATTCAGCTAAGGGACCAGCTCCCCAGAGCAGTCCAGGGACACGCACGTCACAGCACTAGCATCAGCACCCACACGTTGGCTGAACAGACTCAAGCTGTCACTAGTTATCACGGGACACATAAGTCTGCAATGACGGTCCCTTGTCTGCTTTCCTGCATACAACGCAGCCATCTTTGTCTGGGCCCTACCAAGCAGGCCCTGCCCTTGGGGCCCTGCCCGCAGGCCTTCCAAAGCAGGAGCACTGCTCTCCAGCTAACCCAGACGGCCCCTCCCTCTGGGCAGCTGAGCAGTGGCTGTGACCCTTCCCACAGCCCCCATCATCCTCCTGCCCCACATCTCAGTTGCTCTCCTGACACCCTCACTCAGCTGCACGGCCCATCAGCCTTTGTGGTGTCCGAGAGCTGCTGCTCCTGGGCCGCAGCGGGAGTAGCAACAGCTAAAATCCTTGGGAAGGCAACTCTGGGGCAGGGCCTGCCTCTGCCTGCCCAGCTCAGAGAGGCGGCCTCGGCCAGAGGGTGGCAGTGCAGCGCAGGCAATGGCCTCCTGGGAGGCTCCACAACCTACCCGATACTCTACTTCTGTGCCTGGCGGGGACAGATGAGGAAACTCACTCACTGATTTTTTAAAATAGCTTTGAGGTATAATTAACGTACAATTAAATATGCATGTTTAAATTGTACAATTTGACAAATTTTGATATACGTATACACCTGTGAAATTATTACCACAATCAAGATTATGAACAGAGTAATCATTCCCAGGCTCCTCCTGCCACTTCCACTCCCAGCAGATTTGTTGCATTTTCTGGACATTTTTGTCTTTCGTCTTCTTTCACTTACCACAACTATTTCAAGATTCATCCATGTTGTTTTTATAATAGTTTTTTCCTTTTCATTGGCCAGTACAGGTCCACTTCTGGAGGTACCACAATTTGTCTACCTCTGTGATGAACATTTGGGTTATTTC